AAAGTTAGAAATAGATAATACTCATGCTTGTGTAAAGCCATGAGAACTGATCTTATGACACATGACGAAATGAACAAATACTTTGAAGGAAAGAAAGGGGCACTGCAGTACCCACTGCTGATTCTGGAATGTTATGATGTGAAATCCAGCAATATTATTATTAATCTTTGTTCAGAAGGATTTTAATCTAGTAAGTTTTATTAGGTCTCAACATAAATGAAGATATGGATAAATGCGTACATGTCTAAATCTATAGGATTGATAGCCATAATATTTAGTTTTTGTTGGATAGTTGAACGAAACTGTTTGCAGTCTCCCTGGTTGAAATCCCATTTATATATTCCACTTTTGTATCTTGAACAACTATTTGTGGGGGGGAAAATATGTATACATCAATTAGTGATTTATTATTATTTCTTTTCTTTGAAAGTATGTACTATTTCTTCCCATTTTCTATTTTGTTTTGTCTTTCTTTAAATAATAATTTAAAAAAAGAAGAGTCTCAAAGAGAACACGTTGGTAAAATATCTCTTTATCATTTCAGAAATAACCTGCTTATGTGCTGACATAAGCCAGAGCTGAATGTAATACATTGGCAACATGGCAATCTTAGATATGCTGTATAGGAGAAAGATGCTACTCAACTCAGCCAAGGGCACACATGCATTTGTTGCACGAGGCTCTCTCTCTCTCTCTCTCTCTGTCTCTCTCTCTCTCTCTCTGTCTCTCTCTCTCTCTCTCTCTCTGTCTCTCTCTCTCTCTCTCTCTCTGGTTCTGGCTAAGATGGAGTAAGCACACTCCACTCCATCTCTCTCATGAATGCAACTAACATACATGCTTGAATAAAATTTAGCTATCTGAAGGCTCTGAAAAGTAAATGGTAGCAGGTGGCTAGGGACAGAAACTAGAATTCAGAGTATGAAAGATCCTGCAGTAAGTTACCTGTTTTTTTTTTTTAATTGTTCTTGTTTCTTACAAATGGACTCAAGTAGGCAGAAAGCGTCCCAGCACAAAACCTCTCTCTCCGGTCTAAAGACCATAAGAGGGTTCCTAAGGAGTAGAGCGGTGAGAGGAAACCTCTGCTTCCTTTCTTTGTTTCTGGCTCTGCCTGCTTTGGGGTGCTGAGTTTGGGGGACATGATTAGAGAGAGGAGGCACTCTGAGAAAGGCAGTGTGTAAAGTGTGTCCCGAGCACTGTTCAGACACTGACTCTTACCATCTGACAAAGGCTTGGAGAACAGAACCATCAACCATTGTGTAGACCAGGGCCCAGGCCTCACAGGTTCCTGGGACAGATCTAAATAGGACTGCAAAGATTTTGAAAAGCTGAAGTGACACTGAGAAAGCTGGCCATTTATATGCAAAATAAGGGAATGAATCTTGACATGCTTCTCCACTGAATTAAAATTAATTCAAAATAAACCATTGTCTTCACCTGTTTTGTGCTACTATGCCAGAATACCAGAGGCTGAGCAATCTGTAATGAATAGAAATGTATTTCTAGAGGCTGGAAAAATCCAAGACTGAGATTTTTCTTTTCACCATTGAGGTGAGAGTCTTTTTCCTGAATCCTAATATGATGGAAGGTATCACACACATGAGAGAGAGTGTTATGGTTTGTGTCTAAGTATCCCCCAAAGCCTCATGCAGTCACAAGAGGGACAGGCTTTTCAGAGGTGGTAAACTGATTGATTCATGGTCTAACGCTGGGATTAAGAAGGTAAGTACCCTACAGTCACCTGCATACAATTTTGTTGCCTTCCCCATCATGAACCATGTGCCACCCTACCTCGGAGCCAGCTGATTATGAATTGAAACTTCTACAAACTGGGAGCCAAATAAACTTCTCCCCCTCTAACTTTAGCCATTGGGTATTTGTCTCAGCAATGAGAAAAGTAACTAAAAGGGAAGGGAAACCACCTGGGAGAGAATCAGGAAGCAGTAGTTCTCTCTGTGAGTCAGCCAACACCCAGGCAGGAGAGAAGATCCCCACTCCCATCTCCCAAGCAACCTGCTGATTCTGAAGAATTCAGGCTGAGATGATAGCAACTGAAGTAAAGAAACAACTTAATGCTTATATTGTTTGATTGATTTTGCAGACATAACACCAGTAGTCTGAACATCTATTTAGAAGATAACAATATGGAATATGGTAACTATTGTGGATTTCCTACTATCTTGTTTTTGAAGTCCAATATCATTCTCATTGTCTTGTTTAATTTTGTTTTCTTTTATTCCCTTTAAAACACAAAAAAACTAAATAAAAATTTGAGAAGAAAAAAAGAGGAAAGGGCCTAAATCTGCCTCTTGATTCTATTTCTGTGGGTGGAGCGTTATGGCCTAGTCATCTGTTACAGGTCCAGCTCTTGACACTGCAGCACGGGGGCAGTGGGATGGACTTTCAAATGCACAAGCTTCAGGGACACATTCAAGCCATAAGGACCACAGATCCAAACATAACATATGACTTCAGATCTTTTTCTCTTTTTGGTACTGGGGATCAAACTCTTGACCTCACATTTGCCAGGCAGGCACTTGTGCTACTGAGCTATATCCCTAGTCCATTACTACACATCTTGTAGGAGAAAAATATGAGAAAACGTTATGACCTTTAGGCAAGTCATTCTTATGTAAGTTAGGCAAGTCATTCTTATGTATAACATCTAATTGAGATTTATATTTTTAAATGAGTACATTTTACTGCATCAAAATTAAAAACATTGACATTGTGAAAAACACTGAAAAGATGTGAGAAAGTCATAAAAATCGTACTCTTCACAAAGATCTTGTATCCAACTTACATAAAGAACTCACAATGAGAAAATGAACAACCTGAGTTTTAGAAATCTTCAAAAGACTGTCTGGGCCTGCAGTAAGGACAGAGTGCCTGTTTGGCATGTTCAAGGGCCTCAGTTTCATTCCCAGCATCACAGGTGGAAAAATCTACACAAAATATCACCAAAGAAGTTATGAAAATGGTTAACAGCACATTTCATTAATGATTAGAGAAATACAAATTAAAATCCCAGTGCAAGGCCTACACAAATGTTAGAAAGGCTACAGTTAAGGGGTAAAAATAAGTGTCCACACCAACTGCCAGGGAGGACGCAGAACAAGTGGACTCTCCTGTATCACTGCAGGATGGAAATGTCATGCGTCACGTGCACTCCAAAAAGGCCATGGTTAATTACATTTACACTTACTGTTTGACCCAGTAATCTCACTCTTTGGTATTTACTTAGTCTAGAGAAATGAAAACTTATACTTAAATTTATTTATAAATAGTCAAAAATTGGAAGCAGCCCTAACTGTCCTTCAAATGGTGAATGCATAAACGGTATTACATCTATAAACAAGAACAGTGTATGGTAATAAAAAGTAAGGAGTTCTTGACACATATGGCAATATGAGCATATGAGTGAACATTAGAGGATTTTGCTCTGTGAAAGAAGCCAGTCTCGAATTACATGCTGCTTTCAAGAAGGCAGAAACTATAGAAATCAGTGGCTACCAGGGCATGACAGGTTTAACTGCAAATAACAGTAGAGGACATCTTTGGGTAGTGTAACTCTTCTGATTTTTTTTTTCTTTTTTGGTGTTAAGGATTGAACCCAGGGCTTTGTGCATGCTAAGTTCATACTCTACTATCATATTATAGCCTCTTGCCCTTTGTTCTATCTTTTGATGGGGTAGTGGTTACTTAAACCTATATACTTGTTACAACTCATGGAACTGTATACCAAAAAAGAGAAGTAATGGTACAATATTTTAATTTAAAAATTAAAGTTAAACAAAATGATAATGTATCAGGCTCTCAATGATAAGAAGATGTTTGGCTAATCTGGTGTATTACCAATACATCTTTCTAGGCTAGTATGCAAAATAATCAAATTATACTTTCCAGAGAGGACAGATCCCTTAATTACTATAGTCAATAATACAAGTCATTATACTCACAGAGTTACAGTGCTTTTGGTGGTAATTTTTAATTTTGGTTTTGCTACATAATAATCTATTTTCAGGCTGATAGCAGAGCTATAAATTGTAGAAGGATGTCACTAGTGTTACAAGGAAAGACTCCCACCATCCTCAAGCCTACACCTTTCTTCACCAACAAAACCAAGGAAGGGACTAATTGGTCTAACCTGACTTTCTCTTCTGAAGCCCAGATTCTGTGAGACATGAAGGTAAAAGTACAGAACCTTATTCTTCAGGGAACCCCAGTCGAAGAGAAAATAATAGCTCAGTGGGTATCAGATGAAGAATTTAAATTTAAGAAACATTGTGGAATTGAGAACCAATAACTTAAGAGTAATCATCATTTCCTGTAACTGGAGATGAGAGACACAATCTTGGTTCTCCACTGCTGGTTTCTTTGTGCCATGATAAAATGTTAAATGAAAGTGTGGAAAAGAGATAAAAAATTTTCATGCTTGGTTTTAGTATCTCAGAAAAGAAATAAAGTGATTTTCAGTGAATAGCATGGTTTCTGGAATCCAGCAAGATAGATTCAAGTCCTTTCTCCATCTCTTCTTAGACACAGGTTTTTGGGGCAAGATATTTAATCTCTCTGTATCTCAGTATCCTCATCTGTAATTTAATATTATAATAAGAATTTCTTCCTAAGGTTGTTTGGGAGGAGGTGCTAAATGCCAAAGTAATAGTACTTATGTGTGGTACATAGTATTACTTACTAAAATCTATTTACTATCAGAGTCCATAGAGAAAACTCAAGATTTAATGGCCCTAGGATCACTTAGTTTCTGTCTCCCATGCACTAGACTATACCCTGGACAACTGTGTTACTCACACAAAGGTGTGCTCCTGGCTGTAAGGTCGATATGGGAGAATAAGTGAATGCCTACCACCTAGAATGGGTAAACAACCCAAAATGCACACTGCCGGTGGAAATGTTTTGTATGCATGCTAAGGAAAGCTGTTTGGAGTGATCTGTACTTTGGTTATGTTCTCACCCATTCCATCATATGCAGATGAACTTACCTTATCAGCAATATCCACCCTGGCTTTGTGATTCAGTAAGAAATTCACTGCAGAAAAATGATTTCCCCCCACTTCAAAATGCAGGGCTGTACGGTTCATCTGAGGAAACATAATGTGGGTCCTTAGTCATCTGGTTATTATTTAGCCTTTTAAGGATTCCTGGTTCAACAGCCATAATTTTCTACTAACTATTTTGATTATTAACTCAACTTTGCCTTTCCCTTTGAAAGTTGTAAGAGCTGTGTCCAGCAGAATCTTGCCTTCAGCAATGAACAGATGCATTTGAGGATGTGGCAATCTGAGAATTTTCATGGCAGGACATCCCCCAGGCTGAAGCCCTTGCATAAACCACCAGAGAGCAGACACAGAAACCCTGCAGATACAGACACTCTCTCACACACACTAACAAATGCACAACTGCGAAGCATCCTTCCACTGCAATAATGTGTGAAGTTAGACTCTGAAGGTTCATTTCCATGACCCTACTGTCTGGAACAGACAGGTTTTGCAGAGCTTGAATTTAGCCTATTTAAGAAGACCTCTCTAAGCCAGAACCAGAGGGTAACTCACTACAATGAATGTCTTAGTTTTTTTTTTAGCTTTTATGCAAATCACATAACCATGGGAACTTATTTCCAGGACCCACCTAGGGCCTTAGAAGGAAACTGGATAAATACAGATCCTGAAGCTCATGCTCCACGTAGCATTACATCCACTTCTGTACCACTCCACAAACTATTTAAGCACAGGCTCCAATCCGTTCACCTTGATAAATCTTAGCTTGAGGAGCCACCAGGAATTCACAAAAGCATGCAGTAGGGAATCTGCATTTCTGGCAGTGGGCTCTTCCCCAAAGCCTAGGCATCTGAAGAACAAGTGAGCACAAGTCGGTCTCAGGACAAGTCTCACCGCCCAATGTGTGGATGCTCTACATTTCAAAAGCAGTGAAATTAAAATCCACACACTCCTTTGGATTTTAAATTTGGAAAAGTCCAACCACAAAGGACATTCCTAGAGAGAAAATAACCCAGATTGTACAGCAAAAACTGCTCTCCCTTTCCAGAGTGTCTGAAGCCAAACTCACTCATAGGTCACGATCCTAGACCCAGCCCAGGCCAAACCCCTCCCGGACTCCACACAGATGCACCTAAAGACTTCACACTTTTCTTTTCATGAGATGAATTCAAACACCCACAGCCTTCTCTGCTGTTCAGTTCTACCTTAGCTTAAACACCCGCGAGCAACTAACAAAGGAGAACCCCACCACCACCACCTCTCAGCCAGCCATCTTTCCACTTTTTCCTCCTATTTCAGTTGACCTGTGCAAACCCAAGCCATCACCTGGAGTAGTCACATCATGTCTGTTACTTTTACTCACACTGTTCACAGCATTGATGTTAACCTTCTTTTCAAACAGCTTCTCCGTAAGAGCCAGATTATTGCTTTTAGCAGCATCCTGAAAGCTCTTCTCATTTGGCAGTACTGAAAGAAAACAAGCAAACATGACCAAGGGAAGTGAGGGGCCAAGGCGCAAGTGCAGTTCATGTGGCAAACTCTGCAACTCCAACAACACACAATGACAGCTTTGGGTCTTTTGTATTCTGCTATTCAAGACCTGAGAACTTGGCTTCAGTGTTTTACACAGCTGTGGTGTCAAGACATCCACCCTCTCCTCACACTGTAAGTGTTTTTATACCCTGGCCTCAGGCAAAATATGATTTCTGAGGGCCACCCTGAAGACAGACAAGCGGAGTGGGGCTCAAATCAGAGCGTGGCTATGGTTTCCCAGTTGACATTGTTTGCCAAAAAAAAAAAAAGTTTGTACAAGATTAGCCAGGGATGAGTCCAAGTGCTCATACATCTTAGTCAAGTGCTGTCTGCAGAACCTGGAGCATCCAGTCTACAGGAACAAAACCTGAAAACACAGCCTAGCACATACACAGGCTCAAAAGCTAAAGGGGATGCTCACGATTCACCCTCATTTACATGAAAGGAGATAGACATAGAGTCACACCGACTATGAGTGTCACATGCCCCACACATTCGCACTCCCATGGTGAGCTTTATGAGTCAGCAGAGGAGGTTTTTGTCAGGAGAGAGAGGGCTCCCAACTTGGGGAGATAAAAGCAGGAAGAATCAGCAATAGGCCACCTTAAAAAAGAAAGGCCCAGTGTGTTGCTGAGCAGTTGTTGGACGTTTCTTCAGCCAATGACCCTTCAGAACACTGGGGACCTTCAGGGAAGAAGACGGGCTAAACTGTGTCTAAGATTCACTCAGTAAAACCTTAACCCTGAGGAATTCTGAGTTTGGAAACAATGCCTTTACAAAAGGTAAGAAAGGAAAGCTGGGTGTAGCAGTATACCTCTGTAATCCCAGATACTCAGGAGGCTGAGGCAGGAGAACCACAAATTTGAGGATAGCCTGGGTGTCTCAGAAAATTAGTGAGATCCCACCTCAAAATAAAAAATAAAATTAAAAAAATGGGCTGATCCATAGGGGACAAAACTGAGGCATTTATATAGCTAAATGGATGGACCTTGAGACCATAATCATAAGTGAAATAAATCAGACATACATGTGTAAATATCACATTATCTTTCTGATGTGGGAAACCAAAATTGTAAGTAAGAACCAAAATGTACAATAAATATTGTGAAATAGAAACTTCAAAAGAAAAAGGGAACTGGGGCGGGGGCAGGGATGAAGGAAGTGAAAGAAAAATATCAGAAAAGAAAGATAAATAAAATGAAACCAGAGCTTCATGACCAGGGTGAGAAGGAGATTTGAAAGGCAGGGCTGGGGATGGAAACGGGGGAAAGGGAATCGAGACAACGTGGTGCCAATCAAAAGATCTAAATCAGAAAAAATAAAGTAAGAAAATATATTTTGATGGATCTTGGCAGATAAAAACAAAACAAAGCAACAAGAACAAAAACAAACCAAAACAATAAAAATGAGCTAGAATGTCGCACGCTCTGAAGGCCCTGGACTCAACCCCTAGGCCCACAGAACAAAACAAAAGAAAAACAGAAAACAATACAGAAGTTTAACTTCTCATAGACATGGAGGCTGAAAGTCAAAAGTCCATGTCAGCATTAAGGTACCTCCTCCTTCTGTTCCTGTTTCTGTTTTGAAACACAGTGCCACTCTATAGCCCAAGCTGGCCTTGAACTCGGGATCCACCTGCCCCAGTCTCTCAGACCCTGCAGTTACAGGCAGGCACTGCACACCTAGCCCAGGCCTCTTTTCTTGACTAATAGAAATGGAAATCCCCTTCCTCCCTCCCTGCTTTTCCATCGTTCTTTCGAGTGTGCCAGCATACAAATTTCCTCTTTAGGGACATCAGTCATACCAGTTAACTCCTGTCCCTGTAGCCTCATTTTGTCCTCATCACCTCATGTGTGTGTGCATGTGTGTTACTAGAGATTAAATCCAGACCTTTCACACTGAGCATATCCCCAGACTTTTATTTAATTTTATATTTTACTTTGAAACAGGTTCATTAAGTCACTAAGTTGCATAGGTTGGGATCAAAATTGTGATCCTCCTGCCTCAACCTCCCACAAGGCTGACATAATAGGTAACCATGCTGGGCTAAATTGCTGTTGTTTAAGCCACCTAGTCTGTGTTCTTTGTTATAGCAGGCTTAGCAAAGAAATACAGAATTATATGCTTATCCTATCGCCTGGATCACTCTCCTCCTCCCTGGTCCTTATTCTTGTCACTATTCTGGGTGACCTCAACATTGATGTTATGATGACTGATGACTATCCAACCTTTCAGCCTCCTGGTTCCCTGACTCCTTCACCTCTAATTTTTTTTTTTTTTTTGTACTTGGAATTGAACTCACGATCTTGCATTTGCCAGGCAGGTGCCATGCCACTGATCTGTATCCCCACCCCACCCCCAATAATTTTTTGCCCATCTAATCTCAACCCTCCAACTTCAGGGATGGATTCCATCCAGTCAATACACAAACTACACTGCCTTTGAGATCTTCACTCTAACAACCCCATCCTCACCACTACTTGTTCAGTAAGCTCTCTTGCTCGAGTTCTCCAACTCAAGAAATTCCAAACCCTCATCCACTCCTAGCCACTGTTGTAGCAGTCTCTCATATTATTTATTCCTGTGTCCTTAATTCCCTTCCTTTCCTGTTTCAGTTCCACAGTGTTAGTCTTTTGTGCTGCAAGAATACACAGTGTTTTAAAACATAAGACAGATAACCTAATGTTAGTCTTCTGTGCTCAGAACAAAATATCTGAAACTGAGTCATTTAAAAAGACAGATTTTATTTCTCAGAGTTCTGCAAGCCTGTAAGTCCAACATCAAGATGCTGGCAGATTAAGCTGCCTGGCGAGAGCACGCTCTGCTCCAAACGGGCAGGTGGGGCCGTGGTGCTAATGCTGGAAACCTTCACATCACAGAATGGGAGACGGCAGAAAGCACACTCCTCTGCAGAGCCATTGAGAAAAGATGCTAATCTGTGGGTCAAAGCTCTTGAGACTCAATCACTTTATAGAGGCCACATCCCTTATGAACACAGAGACCATAAGCACACTCTTGGAACCACATGGAAGCACATGGCTAATCTATGTATGAAGTCCTTTTATCCTCCCACATTGCTTTTTTCCTCCATCAAACTAGTGGTCAGAATCTTAATTCTGAGGTTAAATCCAACTGCTATATGCTTAACTGCTGTACCCAAGAGCTAACTGCTACTGGAGAAAAACATGCTATAATACACATCGCCAGTGTTCATCTATTCCCCTTCTACCTGGACTCATGGATAAGCCACCCAGATTGGATGCATCAGGAGATGTTGGAGACACTATGAAGCATCTCTGAACAGGATTTAAATTTTACTAATTGGCTTTCTATGTTTATCTGTCCTAGGCCCCTTGCCTGGTGACAGGAGCTGATTCATAGTAAGTGAACCTCTATGAATCACTGGTCCTGGCTGAGGCCTGTAGTGGCCTGTGAGGCCAGAGATACCTCAAAGAGCAAGATAAGGCCAAAGCTAAAGACACTTGGCTCCTACCCCAATTAACAAGGTAGAGACTGCAGCTGCAAAGGTTACTACTATAGTCTCACTTCTACCCTGTCTTCATGATAAGACAGTGCTCCTGAATTGACTTGATTCATTACTTGGAGACATCCTTGAAGTGACTCCCAGGGTCCTGCTCATTGCCTGTGCTTTCCTCAGTTTCCCCACCTTTTGTTCTTAGTCCTAATAAAAGTGGGCTGATCCAGAGAAGTCTTTGTCTTAGCCCTCAGAGTTGCAAGCTCAACTAAAGGGTTTTTTGATCCTCCTGGAGCCCTAAAAAGTCATACAATTTATTTCTTTTTATTTAACCTCCACTGCACACTGGTTTGGAAGATTGGGGATCTAGGTCAGGACCCAAAAAGGAGAGACCTGGCCAGTGGGTTGGAAGACGTGACCCACTGGCACTTTGGGGCCCATCAGTGAGAAGCTCTATGACAACTTCTAGGCCTCTCTTCTCTGTCTTGTCAACCCTGGAAGCCATGTATTTCAACAGAGGGATCTCGAGATGGCATATTCCTATCAGCCTGATGCTAGGGACAATTCTTCATGGGCTTCTCACATTTCTGCACATCTTACGATCAGAGGTATTGATGAGATTTATTTTTGATTATCTTTCTGAGGGCCTCTGAAGGCGGAACAGCTGTGGAGGACAGAGATAAGGTCTTTTTCTGGTTCAAAGGGCAGGTTTGCTTCAGCCTGGGAAGATATCAGAAGCAAGTCACATTTACTGCCCATTGAAAAGCCTTAAGTTTCCCGAGAGCAGGATTCTTCTGTGACACAACCCACTTTGTGGACAGTTGTCACCTGCCAGTCTTTACACATCCCCTGCAAACTGGGGTTTGGGGAACAGACACAAATGTTATCACCCTGGCTACTGCTATTGCTATGTGCAAAATCCTTCATTTCTGACCCAGAAGTACCTTTGGCCATTGTCTACCTCATCACAGTCAGCTCACTTGTTCATTTGCCAATAGGGTAAAAAGTCCTTGACCGTCTATAGTCCTTGACTGAGATGGAACCCTCCCCAAGCCATTTTGGACTTGCTCTATGAACAGAGAATGTATCTTGGTTATTTTTGGTCACTCAGACTCAGGGGTTATTTGTTCTTGCAGGAAAAGCTAGTTTATCCTGACCAATACACATACTAATGGGTCTCTAAAATATCCACTTATCTCAAGTAGCATCTCAGCACTTCATGTGTTCTAATATATTTCCCTTGTCCTTTATTTTCCAAAAATTCATGTCTTTTATATTCTACTATCTTACTTTATTGCTGTGCATTTTTTTTTTTTGAGACAGAGTTTCACTATGCAGTTCAGGCTGATCTGGAACTTGAAGCAATCCTCCTGCCTCAGCCTCCCGAGTGCTGGGATTATGGCATGCACTACCACACCTGGGCTGCTCACCAGTCTTATCTGGCTCTTAGCTTGATAAC